CTTTTTTTTCATATTCATGTCGTACGATAAAGTTAATCTCTATAAAGTTTCCTTCTAACTCGTGCTTGCGTGTGTCTTTTAGATCATGCCTCCATGAAGAGTTGTGTTAGGTCGTCCTTCTAGGAGGAACATTGAGGAGCAAGGGGTACCTAATGCACCAGAAGTGCAACCCCAAGGAGAGGTCACCAATGCTGAATTTCGAGAAGTAATCTGAATGCTAAGTCAAGCTGTGACTAACCAGGTTAGGCAACAAAGAGGGGCTGGACTGGAAGTGGTTGATACTTCGAGGATCCGTGAGTTCTTGAGGATGAATCCTCTAAGCTTCACTAGTTCGAGCACCACAGAGGATTCAAAAAACTTTGTAGAGGAACTACATAAAGTATTTGAGGTTATGCATGTTGACGTTGCTGAGCGAGTGGAACTAGCTGCCTATCAACTGAAAAGTGTTGCTAGGACTTGGTTTGACCAGTGGAAGAAGAGTAGGGCTGAGGATGCACCGGTTTAGAGTTGGGCTGTGTTCTAAAGTGCTTTCTTTGGGCGTTTCTTTCCCTGTGAACTGAGAGAAGCCAAGGTAAGGGAATTCCTTACCCTTAAGCAGGAACCTATGAGTGTTCATGAGTACAGTTTGAAGTTCACCCAACTTTCTCGATATGCTCCGGAGATAGTTGCAGATATGCGGAGAAGGATGAGTCTGTTTGTTGCTGGATTGTCTCGTTTGTCTAGTAAGGAGGGTAAGGCTGCTATGCTAATAGGGGACATGGACATAGCAAGACTTGTGATTTATGTGCAGCAGATTGAGGAAGAGAAGCTGAGGGGTAGAGAAGAATTGAGAAACAAGAAAGCTAAGACATGTAATGAGTCCGGGCAGCAACAAAGTAATGTGAACCATTCTTCCTTTCAACATAAGCAAAGGGACTTGCTCCATCATCTGCTAGTGTACCTGCTGATTAACGTTTCAAAGACACTTCATCCAATTCTAAGTGTCCACGATCGTTAGTTAGTATATAACCCAACCAACTGAGTAGGGGTCGATCCCACAGAGAGTAGCTTTCTTTGAATTCAAATACGAAAGTATGACAATGACCTTTGCAACTGAGCAACACAACACTAAATAGTTACACAGTCAAATTTCAAGATGTTGTTACCAACCTACTTCAAATTATCAACAAGAAACAATCAGATAACTAGGAAACACTTGGGGGGTTAACTAACCAACTGTTGAATTCAACTCAATGGGTGTATCTTATTACCGATAATGCTAATTCGTCGCGGGTAAAGTGGACTACAAGTAAGGGAACTTTCTCTCGAACAATTACCTCATTTCTGTTAAGTTCTCTCGAAACTCAACACCACCTATGAAATGATCATCCCACGCTCTCATCAAATCCACTCTCTCAAGCTGGATACAAAGGCTAGCTCTTGGGTTTCACTTTCTCAAGCTGAAACTATCAAGACCCACTTCTAAGGATGCCAAATTACTACGTTGGTTCTGTACTCCTCTCTCGAGCAAGCATAAAACTCTAAAATCTATCACACTAAATATACAATATGGACATTGAACCACCATAGTAATTTAGACCCGCTTCAGATTAACATAAAAAATCTCTAATCAATAACACCTATTTAGCAAAATTCAACAATTAATCACATTGTCAAACCTCCAAGGTTAGGGTTTTAGCCAATCCTAGTGAAAAGATGAAATTCAATACCTGCCACAATTTCCATAGTTGGGTAAACGAAATTCGAAAGTTAAAATTAACTAAAATCTTATCTATTACAAAATTCAAATGGGAAGCTTTGCTAAAATCAGTTGAAATCCACAAGGGTAGTGTTTTTGCTCTCAATCTTTTGTTCCTTACGTTTCTCAATGTCTTCTCTCTCTTCCAAAAATCAATTTATGCAAGTCTGATGTGTGGCTGTTTGGGACCAATCGGCGAGGTAAGTCGGGCTTCGCCAACCGTTCGGTGACTCGCCGATTTTCCTTCGTCTCGCCTTCATTTTTCACCTCTTCTTAGTCCAACTACTGTAATTTTAGGCAAGCCAGATCGGGATTGTTGTCTCATTCCGCGATGCACCCTTTGTCCTTTCATCTCACCCTTCAGTACTTATCCGGATCTCCATCAGTACTTTCTGTGACTTGGTCATCCATCGCCGATGCAATCAGTGACGCACCGAGTGGAACTGTTGCTCGCCGAACCTACTCCTAATCCAGCCTCAGTGTTCTGTAACTTTCAGTGGTAGAGTGGCAACTTGGCGAGTCACCGAGTGACATCGGCGATCATCAGGCTTGTTTTTCCCTTCTCTTTTTTGTTCGTGTTGTCTCTGTTGCGCATTTCTGTCTTAGCTTTGTTCCTCGATCCATATATCTGAAGATCAAGGGTTTTACATCAGTTGTTGGCACAAAATAAGCATTTGAGGATACTAAATCATTATAAATAATGCCCTAAATGAGTCCAAATCTCGGACTCAGCAACACCCCCAACTTAAACTTTTGCTTGTCCTCAAGTAAAACTCAAGTTCAACAGTTCAAAAAGGATGTCTCAAATAGTGCTACACAAGAGTCAATCATGAATGCATACAACAAGACTCAACTTATTCATGCAAGGATCAATTGTGCACTCAAATGTTCAAGTTGTGACTCACCATTCTCAATGATTCTCAAGTTCACAATACTTGCTTCAAATGCAAGTTCAAACTCAATAAAGGTACTCAAATGCCCTCACACAAAGATGATTCCATATTCACACACTATTCTTCAACAATTTAAAGTTCCGGAATCACATACAACTCTTACACTCTCAAAGATGAACACATGCATGACTTCACCCATAGGTTTGCCCTTATTTTCCACTTAACATTCATTTCAACTCACTCAAGATCAAAAGGTCTTTTTGAGGCTTGAAACAGGGTTGAGTGTAAATGTATGATCATTTAGGATCAGTGGTTGCTATCCCCATGAAATGTGGTATGAACAACACTTTCTTTCGTTTTCTTCAACATTTGCACTCGTGCTCACAAGTCACTCCATTATTCGCTTCTCATGGAATATCGGACACCCCATTTCTCTTGCAGCTTTCATAACTTTATTTCACAATTTTTTCATTCTTCATTTCTTTTCTCTTTTTTTTATATGGAGAGGTTCCATCTTTCTCACAACCATGGCTCAAGGGGGACTTTTTTGCATTTCTTGATTTACCTTCTCTTTTCACCACACCCCCAACTTAGTCTTTTGGCCTAAGTTGGCTATTCAAACAAACCACACTTCATGAGGATTACGGGTGAAGGGATAGAGAGAGGTATCATTTGCTCAAGTTTCTTCCAAGAAAAGGACAGGGCTCAATGGGGAAGCAAAGTTCACACACTCACAAGGTAGGCCACAAAAGAAGTATAATGTCAAATTGGTTCACTCTTCAAAATTGTTGCCTCAGATCATTTCAAGATTTTGCATCACTTAGTCAACTGGACCAACGGGGCAAATTCTAGGTGTTATCACACATGGTTCACGGTAAGCTCATCACACAAGGCATTGGTACTGATATCAAACAAGACTCCACACTTTTGCTAGTGTTCAATGTTCATCACAAGAGACTCAATTCGATAATCGGCTAGTCACAACGAGATGCAAAAAGTTCACATATTGTCTATGCAACTTCATTTGGCCTCATCATAGACGCACATTCATTTTTGTTCGATTAAGAACACCATTCAAGTCATCGGTATTGATCATAACCGATACTCAAATTTGCACAAGAGGAACCACAATTAAACACACAAAAGGTGGCCAAATTATTTTTCAGAAGGGTCCAAGCACACAAGGGACACACTGACCAAGCACACACCCCCACCAAAAGCATTCAACATTGTCCCCAATGTGATTAGAGAACGGACACTCCCACAAATAAAAATAAGTATAAAAAATAAAAACTAACAAACAAAGATAAAATTCTAGTATGTAAACATGCTGAGCAAGGTGACGAAGAATCTTCACCAAGCAGCCAGTTGGCGATAAAATGAAACAGTCATCCAATGCCTCGGCGGTGCGCCCAATGGTCCGGATATCGCCCTAAGTTCCAGTGTGTGACACTCTCAGAAAGGGGCAAATCGGCGGAGATGAAGGAGGTCGTCAAACAGGCCGGCGATTCGCATAATGGACTTGTAACATCACCGAACAATCATTGAGTTAAGCTATTAGCGCTGGAGTAAAAGAGCTGGAAAAATTGTGTCACCTGAACAAATTGGTGATTCACCAAGTGATGAAGGTCTCCCGCAAAATGTTCTAGTATCTCACCTCTATTTTTAAAGTCCATAAGGCGGACTATGTCGTGCTCGCCGAACCGATTCGGCGATCCGCCAATAGCATCTTCTTTTCGCACAATATCTTGCGCCTACAAAATCAACACACATTATTTGAACATTAACACTTGGGTTGCCTCCCAAGAAGTACCTTATTTAACGTCGTTGCACAATGTGGAAATGCTCTCAAGTATCTTCCAGGTACACCACCTCAATCAGAGAAACCTCTTGGCACTCGCCAAAGTATAACTTCAAGCGTTGCCCATTCACCTTGAATGCAGGTCCTTCTTGACCTTTAAATTCGATGGCACCATTTGTGAACACTCATTTCATTCTAAATGACCCTGACCATTTGGACTTGAGCTTTCCCGGAAAGATTCTAAGTTGAGAGTTATAAAGTAACACCAGTCTCCCACTCTGAATTCCCTCTTAAGGATTTTAGAATCATGTCATTTCTTCATCTTTTCCTTGTAAAGGGATGAACTTTTGTAAGCTTTGAACTTGAATTCGTCCAACTCATTTAACTGCTCTACTCTCTCTTTTGAAGTCTTTGTCCAGACTAGATTTAGAGCTTTCAATGCCCATATTGCTTTGTGTTCCAATTCAACTGGTAGATGGCAACATTTACCAAAAACTAGCTGATACGAAGACATACCGACTGGTGTTTTGTATGCGGTGAGATACGCCCATAGCGCGTCATCAAGCTTTCAAGACCAATCAGTCATATTAGCATTCACTGTCTTGACCAAGATGTTTTTGATCTCCCAATTTGACACTTCAACTTGGCCGCTCGTTTGGGGAAGAGTTGCTACTTTGTGTTTCACTCCATACTTATTCAATGCGGCTGAGAACCACTTGTTGCAAAAGTGGGATCCCCCATCACTAATAATAGCCCGAGGAGTACCAAATCTAGCAAAGATGTAGCGTTTCAGGAATTGAACAACACTTTTCCCTTCATTGTTTGGAAGTGCAACAGCCTCCACCAATTTAGAAACATAATCTATGGCCACCAAGATATACTTATTACCAAACGAACTCACAAATGGGCCCATGAAATCTATTCCCCAAACATCAAATAGCTCAACTTCTAAAATGGGCGTAAGAGGCAGCTCGTGTCTTTTGGACACTCCACCTTGTTTTTGACATTGAGTGCACTTCTTAACAAACTCATGAGCATGTTTGTAGAGGTACGACCAGTAGTAGCCACTTTGGAGGACTTTAGCAGTTGTACGTACACCACCAAGATGACCCCCAACCGGTGAAGCATGACAATCATGGAGAATTTCGATGGCTTCTTCTTCCGGCACATCTCCTAATGATATGGTCTGCACACTCTCTGAATAAATATGGTTCATCCTAAAAGTACTTCTTAACATCGAACAAGAACCTCTTTTGTTGGTAGAAGTTCAGTTCGTCCGGCATTAATCCACACACTACGTAATTGGCAAAATCAACATACCAAAGAGGTTGTTTGAGAGTTACTGTGAATACATGTTCATCGGGAAAAGAATCATTTATGTCGATCTCCAGCTCGTCATTTTCCTTGACTTCCAACCTTGATAAGTGGTCAGCCACCTGATTTTCACAACCTCTCCTATCTTTGACTTCAAAGTCGAATTCTTACAATAGTAGCACCCACCTTATCAATCTTGGCTTTGCATCCTTCTTTGCCATCAGATAACGCAGTGCAACATGATCAATGTGAAAAATCACTTTAATACCTAGCAAGTATGCCCGGAACTTCTCAAATGCATAAACTACCGCAAGTAACTCTTGTTCTGTAACTGTATAGTTATGTTGAGCACTATTTAGAGTTTTGCTTGCGTAGTAAATGGGGTGAAATAGTTTGTTGCATTTTTGCTCCAATACAATACCTAATGTCGTACCGCTTGCATCACACATTACTTCAAAGAATTCTGACCAATCGGGACTAATGATAACCGGGGTGGAGACCAATATTTCTTTCAAGCACTTGAAAGCCACCATGCAAGCATCATCAAAGTGGAATTTCACCTCCTTCTCCAAGAGTTTGCATAGAGGATGTGCAATCTTTGAGAAGTCTTTGATGAACCTCCGATAAAAACCGGCATGTCCCAAGAAACTACGAACACCCTTCGCTGAAATTAGTAGTGGTAACTTCTCAATTACTTCAATCTTCGCTTTATCAACCTCCAGCCCCTTTTGCGACACTTTGTGGCCAAAACTATACCTTTCTTAACCATGAAGTGGCATTTTCCCCAATTTAGGACCAAATTTCTCTCCACACATCTTTGGAGAACTTGTCCTACATGTGCTAAACATGCTTCAAAAGTGTCACCCACAATCGAGAAGTCATCCATGAATACCTCCATTGAATCTTCCACCATGTCACCAAAAATAGATAACATGCAACGTTGAAATGTTGCCGGAGCATTACATAACCCGAACAACATCTGTTTGAAGGGAAAAGTTTTATATGGGCAGGTAAAGGTGGTTTCTCCTGGTCTTCCGGAGCAATGGAGATTTGGTTATAACTGGAATACCCATCCAAAAAGCAATATCAACCTCTCTCTGAGAGTCGATCAAGCATTTGATCCATGAAAGACATGGGAAAGTGATCATTTTCAGTCCACGAATTTAACTTTCGGTAATCCATGCATACTCTCCATCCGGTCATAGGTCTCATAGATACAAGCCTCCCCTTTTCATTTGGGATTACTTAATGCCTCCATTTTTCGGTATACATTGTACCAGACTTACCCATTTGCTATCCACAATAGGGTAGATCACACCTGCGTCCAACCACTTTATTATCTCTTTTTTCATCACCTCTTGCATCGGTGAGTTCAATCTTCCCTGATGTTCAACACTCGGTTTACAATCGCTATCAAGTTGAATTTTGTGAGTGCAAATACCGGGAGGAATGCCGACTATATCAGAGATAGTCCAACCTATAGCTTTGATATGCCTTCTCAACACCTCAAGGAGCAATTTACCTGCCATTCAAGCAAGTCAGCTGCAATGATCACCAGTAAGGTGTTATTTACCCCCAAGAAAGCATATCAGAGATGGGACAAAAGTACTTTCAACTCCAGATTGGTGGTTCTTCCATTAATGGCTTTGCGGGAGGACTTTCTCAATTTTTTAGATCAATTTCAAACTACAATGGAGTCTTTGAATACCTCCCAAGCCTGAAAGAGCAGCAACTACCTTTTCATAGCCTTGAATTTTGAATTCATCATAGTTAGAAAGCACAACTTCAAGTGGTTCACTCACACACATCAAATGGCTCACACTAGCCACCCCCTCATCAATAACATCAACAGTGGAGACCACGTGACTATCACTTGGGTGTTTCATTGACTTACAAACATTAAAGGTTACTTTATCTTCGTTCACCTGAAACTTCAATTCTCCACTTTCAACATCCACCAACGCTCTCCTGGTTGCCAAGAATGGTTTTCCCAAAATGATGGGAATTTCAGCATCTATTTGACAATCGAGAATGATAAAATCAGCCGGGAAAGTGAATCGGTCAACCTTTACCAATATGTCATATAGTATCCCCACAGGATGTTTAATTGATCGGTCCGCCATCACGAGTCTCATTGTTGTGGCTTTCGGTTCACCTAACCCAGGTTGTTTATAGATCGCATATGGCATTAGGTTGATTCTTTCTCCCAAATCGCATAGGGCTTTAGCAAATTGGAGCATACCGATGGTGCAAGGGATGGTGAACGCTCCTGGATCTTCTCTCTTTTTGATCATCTCCTTAGTCATAATTGCACTACAACTATGAGAAACTTTGATTGTCTCAAAATTCAAGCTCCTTTTCTTTGTGACTAACTCCTTCATAAATTTGGCATAACCCGACATTTCTAACAATGTTTCCACTAGAGGGAGATTAATTGATAATGTCTTGAACACCGATAAAAACTTCTTGAACTTCTCATCCTCATTCTTCTTCTTGAGTCAATGGGGGAATGGAGGAGATATTTTGGGTAAAAGTTGCATAACATGGGATTGGATTGTGTTTCTCCACATCTTTTTGTGATCCTTTGGCAATGCTTTGATGGATATGTGTCTTTTCTTCCTCCATACCTTTGTCTTCTTCATGCATTTGAGCTTCTTCATTTCTTATCACATCACCTATTGCTACTTTTCCACTACGAGTAACCACAACCATCCCTCTATCATCATCTTCCATTGTGATATTTGGTTTCAACTGTGCTGAAGGTAAACTCAACTGACCTTCAAGTATCTTGGTTGCATCTGTGTGAGAGTTCACTTTATTGTTCAATTATGAAAAGTCAGCTTTCATCTCTTTCAACAAATCATCCGAACCTTCAATTTTATCAAGGATGTGTGACATCAAATCATTCACCTGGGGACTACTTGCACTTCCTTTCAATTTTGGGCTCTCACTCGAGTGAGTGTGGTCCTCTTCATGGCCATCCTCCCTTTTCTAATAATCACTTTTCTCAACCCAATCTTGATAGTATCTTCTTTGCTCTTCCCCTTGTGATAGTTCCAACCTTGATTCCCACCTCGCTGTAAATAGCGTGGGTTGAAACCCTCTTCGTATCTCTTGGAGTTCCAACCTTGATTCTCCCCCAGCTTAGAATAACCTGAGGAAGAACCCTCCTCAACTCTAAACACTCCATTTGTCCCCTTGGGCTTTCCCACATTCTCCATCATATGCTCTTGTAATAGCTCCATTTGGGTCAACATCTTCTAGATGTTTGCATCCCTTTCTCTTTCCTTATGAAGTTGTTCTTGTGTCATTCTAAAACAAAAAAAGAGAGACTTGATCTTCTTGAGTGTACCAACCTTGATTTATTTTTGTCATGTCATCAAGAAGAAATGAAGCCACCTCAAATGATTGCAACATTATTCCCCCTCGTACCAATTGATCAGCCACTCCTTTACTAACCGAATAAAGACTCCGATAAAAATATTGGAGTAGTAAATCATTTGGTAGCCCGTGAGTTGATCATCTAAGTAAGAGTTTCTTAAACCTCACCCACATTTCATGGATGGGTACACCCTCCCATCGCTTGAAACATTGAATGATATCTCTAAGTTTCATCATCCTTGATGGGGGGAAGAATCTTGCATTGAATGCGGTAATCAGCTCCTCCCATGATGTGATGGAATTGTTTGGTGTCTCGGCCAACCACTTGCTAGCCTCCCCCGTCAAAGATAGTGGAAATAACCTAAGCCGGATTGACTCTTGTGACACATTCTTGAATGAAAATGGGTTGCACACCTCTGTAAAATTTCTTACATGCTCATGCGGGTCTTCATGTTCTAGCCCTCCACAGAGTCCCCTCATTTGGAAGAGATGAAGAGTCGTGCTAGTGACCTCAAAAATTGCATTCCCATCAATTTGTGGAAAGCAAATTGCACCCATTTCACCTGGTTGAAATGGGTTGTAAACACTATTGATATCATCGATACTGTCCCGATGACCTGCTTGGCTACCATTCACCTCTTCCTCACTTATTTTTACTTCTATTTAGTCCAATCAACACTACACAATGTAGTCTAAGTCGATTCAACTACAATCAACAGATTCACAAGTCAAATCTTCAATCAAAGAACTCTAAGTAACGCTACTCCCCGGCATCGACGCCATTTTGACAAACATTTCAAAGACACTTCATCAAATTCTACGTGTCAACGATCGTTAGTCAGTATATAACCCAAACAAATGAGTTGGGATCGATCCCATAGAGAGTAGCTTTCTTTGAATTCAACTATGAAAGTATGACAATGACCTTTGCAGCTGAGAAACACAACACTTAATTGTTAAACAGTTAAATTTCAAGATGTTGTTACCAACCCACTTCAAATTATCAATAAGAAACAATCAGATAACTAGGAAACACTTGGGGATTGACTAACCAACTGTCGAATTCAACTTAATTGGTGTATCTCATAACCGATAATGGTAATTCATCACAGGTAAAGTGTACTATAAGTAAGGTAACTTTCTGTCGTACAATTACCTCATTTCTGTTGAGCTCTATTGAACCTCAACAACATCTATGAAATGATCAACCCACACTTTCATTAACTCCATTCTCTCAAGCAGGATACAAAGGTTAGCTCTTGGGTTTCACTTTCTCAAGCTTAAGCCATCAAGACCCACTACTAAGGATGTCAAATTACTACGTTGGTTATGTACTCCTCTCTTGAGCAAGCACAAAACACTGAAATCTATCACATTAAATATGCAATATGGACATTAAACCACCATAGTAATTTAAACCCGCTTCATATTAACATCAAAAATCACTAATCGATAACACCCATTTAGCAAAATTCAACAATTAGTCACATTGTCAAACCCCTAAGGTTCGGGTTTTAGCCAATCATAGTGAAAATATGAAATTCAATACCTGCCACGTTTTCCATAGCTGGGTAAACGAAATTTGAAAGTTAAAATTAACTAAAATCTTCTCTATTACAAAATTCAAATGGGAAGCCTTGCTAAAATCACTTGAATTCCACAAGGGTAGTGTTTTTGCTCTCAATCTTTTGTTCCTTACGTTTCTCAATGATTTCTCTCTCTTCCAAAATCAATTTATGCAATTCTAAAGTGTGGCTGTTTGGGACCAATCGGTGAGGTAAGTTGAGCTTCGCCGACCAGTCGGCGACTCGCCGATTTTCCTTCTTCTCGCCTTCATTTTTCACCTCTTCTTAGTCTAACCACTGTAATTTTAGGGGAGCCAGATCGGGATCGCTGTCTCATTCCGCGATGCGCCCTTTTTCCTTTCAACTCTCCTATCAGCACTTATCTGGATCTCCATCAGTACTTTCTGTGACCTGGTCATCCATCACCGATGCGATCGGTGATGCGCCGAATGGAACTACTACTCGTTGAAGCTACTCTTAATCCAGCCTCAGTGTTCTGTAACTTTCGGCGATAGAGTGGCAACTTGGAGAGTCGCCAAGTGACATCGACAATCATCAGGCTTATTTTTCCCTTCTCTTTTTTTTGCTCGTATTGCCTCTGTTGCCCATTTATGTCCTAGCTTTGTTCCTCAATCCATATATCTGAAGATCAAGGGTTTTACATCAATTGTTGGCACAAAATAAGAATATGAGGATGCTAAATCATTATAAATAAAGCCCTAAATGAGTCCAAATCTCTGACTCATCACCTGCACAAAGGAATAAAGGTGAGTATAATAGTCAAAATTCGCATAATTTCATAGCTAGACCTGTTCAGTCTTAGGGTAGTGTGGCACAAGGAGGGACTTGGGCTCCTACATGTACTAAGTGTGGTAGGAACTACCCAGGTTCTTGTCGTGATGGCTCTACTTGTTGTTTCAAGTGTGGTCAAGAGGGTCACTTCATGAAAGAGTGTCCTAAGAACATGCAAGGTAATGGGAATAGGGGAAATAAAGCCCAATCTTCTTCAGTTGCTCCACCAGACAGGGCTGCACCTAGAGGAGCTACTTCAGGGACTGGCGGAGGAGAAAACCGCCTATATGCGATCACTAGTCGTCAAGAGCAAGAGAATTCTCCAGATGTCATCACTGGTATGATCAAAGTCTTTACTTTTGATGTTTATGCTTTGCTAGATCCATGAGCGAGTCTATCTTTTGATATTCTTTATATTGCGATGAATTTTGATATTCTTTCTGAGAAACTTTGTAAGCCCTTTAGTGTTTCTACACCTATTGGTGAGTCCATTCTAGTTGAGAGAGTCTATCGTGATTGTACCATTTCCGTCAATCACAAGATCACCATGGCTGATTTATTCGAGTTAGACATGGTAGATTTCGATGTTATTTTGGGTATGGACTGGCTTCATGCCTGTTATGCCTTCATTGATTATAGAACTCGGGTCGTCAAGTTCCAATTTCCCAGTGAGCCAGTCTTTGAGTGGAGGATTAGTTCAGCAGTGCCTAAGGGTCATTTTATTTCGTACCTCAAGGCGAGAAAGTTAGTTTCCAAGGGTTGTGTCTATCACTTAGTCCGAGTTAATGACTCTAGTGTTGAGACACCTCCTATTGAGTCAGTTACAGTTGTGAGTGAGTTTCCTTAGGTCTTTCCAAATGATCTACCCAGAGTCCATCCTATGAGAGAAATAGACTTTGTTATAGATATTTTTCCCGATACTTGTCATATATCTATTCTGCCATATAGCATGGCACTAACAGAGTTAAAAGAGCTTAAAAAGCAGTTGAAAGATCTCTTTGAGAAGAGTTTTATTCGACCAAGTGTATCACCTTAGGGCGCTCCGTTCTTATTTGTGAGGAAGAAGTATGGTTCGCTTAAAATATGTATAGATTACCGTCAGTTGAACAAAGTTACTATCAAGAATAAGTATCCACTCCTGAGAATTGATGATCTCTACGATCAGCTTCAGGGTGCCACCTGTTTCTCGAAGATAGACCTCAGATCTGGCTACTATCAGTGAAGAGAGAGGGAATGTGACATTCCAAAAACAGCTTTCAAGACCCGTTATGGTCATTATGAGTTTCTCGTCATGTCGTTCGGTTTAACTAACGCACCTGAAGCGTTCATGGACCTTATGAATAGAGTATTCAAGCCTTATTTAGATATGCTTGTGATTGTGTTCATTGATGACATTTTAATCTATTCGAGAAATGAGGAAGATCATGTTATCCATCTCATAATAGTTCTTTAAACTCTAAAGGATAGAGAGTTGTATGTTAAGCTCTTTAAATGTGAGTTTTGGCTTGAGTCTGTGGCATTCTTAGGCCACATTGTTTCCAGTGATGGAATTAGAGTTGATAACCAGAAAATAGAAGTAGTGCAGAATTTTCCTAGACCCACATCTCCAACTGATATTAGGAGTTTCTTGGGGTTGGCTTGATATTATAGAAGGTTCGGAGAGGGGTTCTCATCTATTTCGTCCCATTTGACCAAGTTGACTCAGAAAATAGTGAAGTTTCAATGGTCTAAATCTTGTGAGAAAATCATTCAGGAATTGAAAACTTGGTTGACTACTGCCCCAGTATTGATCTTACCAGAAGGTACGCAAGGCTTTATTGTATATTGTAATGCGTCCAGATTTGGTTTGGGTTGTGTGTTAATGCAGAATGGTAAAGTTATAGCTTATGCCTCCAGACAGCTAAATGTTCACGAGAAGAATTATCCAACCCATGATCTAGAGTATTCAGTATATGTTTAGTCAGAAAGAGCTTAATCTCAGATAGAGGATGTGGTTATAGTTACCAAGGATTATGACATGAGTATTTCTATCACCCAAGTAAGGCTAACATTGTTTCTGATGCATTGAGCAGGTTGTCTATGGGTAGTACCGCCCGTGTTGAGGAAGAAAAAAGGGAGTTAGTGAAAGATGTGCACAGACTTGCACGATTAAGAGTTAACTAATGGATTTTACAGAAGGAGGAGTGGTGGTGATGAATGGGGCTGAAACATCATTAGTGTCTAAAGTTAAAGAGAAACAAGACCAAGATCTTATTTTGCTTGAATTGAAGGCAACTGTTCATAAGCAAAAAGTAATGGCTTTTGAACAAGAGGGAGATAGTGTATTGAGGTATCAAGGTAGGTTGTGTGTACCAAGAGTGGATGAACTTCAAGAGAGGATCATGGAGATAGCTCACAGCTCAATATATTCCATTCATTCGGGTTCCACAAAGATGTTTCGTAACTTGCGAGAAATATATTGGTGGAATAGTATGAAGAAAGGTATTGATGAGTTCGTTGCTAAATACCTGAATTGTCAACAAGTTAAAGTAGAGAACCAAAGGCCCGGTGATATGGCTTATAATATAGAACTTCCGGAATGGAAGTGGGAGATGATCAATATGGATTTCATCATAGGTTTGCCACGGTCTCGCAGGAAACATGATTCTATTTGGGTGATTGTGGATCGAATGACCAAATCAGCCCACTTTTTTACGCTAAAGACTACCCATTCAGCAGAGGATTATGTCAAGTTATACATTCAAGAGGTAGTACGACTTCGTAGAGTCCCAGTTTCGATTATATCAGATAGAAGTGCACAATTTACTGCACAATTCTGGAAGTCTTTTCAAAAAGGGCCTGTGTTATTGATTTCAAAGGTAATTTGGATGATCACCTACCTCTCATTGAGTTTTCTTATAACAATAGTTACAATTCTAGCATCCAGATGGCTCCTTATTAAGCTCTCTATGGGAGAAGGTGTCGATCTCCCATTGGATGGTTTGAGGTTGGTGAAGCTGGGATTATAGGACCATACTTAGTTCATCAATCTATGGAGAAAGTGAAAGTTATTTAAGAGATGTTGAAAACAGCGCAGAGTCGTCAGAAATCCTACACTGATGTTAGGAGAAGGGACTTAAAGTTTGAAGTAGATGATTGGGTATACTTGAAAGTTTCACCAATAAAGGGTGTTATGAGATTTGATAAGAAGAGGAAACTTAGCACCCCGTATATTAGACCTTACAGAATATCCAAAAGGATTGGTACTGTAGCTTATGAGTTGGAGCTACCACTTGAGTTAGTAGCGGTCCATCCGGTATTTCATATTTCCATATTGAAGAAGTGCATATGAGATCACTACACCATTTTAGGCCTATGGCCACCCTAGTAAAGTGTAGCCTAAACTAGCAAAAAGTGTGGCCTTTGACAAAAGGCTACACTTTTGGACTTTAAGCAACACTTTTTAGGGGGTGGCCTAATGAAGCGTAACCTTTGACATTAGGCAACACTTTTTAAATGTCGCCATCTTTGGCTACACTTATAAAGCGTAGCCAAAGAGGTATAAGGGCACGCTTTGTTGTGATGGATTAGCGACACCTATTTTTTATTATACTACACTTAAAAGCGTTGCCTTTTCTTTGTTATTGGTCACACTTAAAAAGCGATGCCTTTTATATCTCATCAAGAGCAACACTTATAAAGTGTAACTTTATCTCTCATCTAGAGCAACACTTATAAAGTGTAACTTTATATCTCATCTAGAGTACAAGATAACATTGGACGTCCTACAACAACACTTTTGAAGTGTGGCAATGTTGTGTAGAATTTTGTAGCCACAATTTTTTATTTTTAATAATAATAATTTTTATTTGCATATATTTAATATATAATCACATAATTAAATATACAAGTGACCTAAAGCACAAAATTAGCTAATAATTAAATCGAAGCTATATATTTCAAATAAACTTCGAGAAACATGTCTTGTACAACCAATACTTAGAAAGTGATTGCTTAAAGATCTCTACTATCGATAAATTCCAAAAAATCAAATGCATTCAAACATATATGACAATAGTACAAAAACTCTTCATCGTTCACTACAATAGACCGAATTTACTTTTGGCCACATGCAATTCAAATTCAATTATCGGCATTTTCCTGCAAATTCAAAATAAAATTATAAGTTAGTGAAATAAATGTGGAAGTGCATAATTGGAGAGTATTCACTGTAAGCCAACCAATCCAAATCAATATATATATATATATGCAAATCATATAGAACATTTGTCAGCACATGAATTCTGGATTACTGCATGTATTGTAAACACAAAGAACACTTGTTACATGTCTGTATTGGGCAGGAACTGGGAGCTGCCCATTTCATTAATCAAGAAAGAGCTCAAGAGACTAGCTCTCACATTCACACTTTGATATTAAGCAAAGAGATGAGGAATTTTAAAAAAGAAAAGAGTTGGAGGCTGCTAGGAAGAAAAAAAACAAAGGGGAACAAGGCAAACAAGATTCCAGAAACCTGCAAATGCAATACACAAATAGAGAGGATGGAAACAACAGTTCACAATACCAGTAGCAAAAAAAAAAAAAGGAAATAACAACAAGCCAACTGATGAAGAATGGCAGACTCAAGAAGGAGCTGAAATAACTACTAACTCTGCACTCCCTACATCTAATAATTTCATTGATCTTTCTATGCAGGATCAACCAAACAATCAAGAAGGAGCTGAAAATCAGAATTCAAAAGATAAGGATATAATGGAGACACAAATTAATAATAAGTCAACCACTGACAGCATGTTGGGCATGAGAACACCCACATTGATCATAGTCTAGACCATAGATCCCCTACTAGCCCCCTCAGCATCACATTCAGAATAAACAGCAAGTTCCAGACAGGTTTCAGGTTAATGCTACAAGTCAAGGTCATAAATCATTTAATCTTAAGTTATTTTCTGCTTTTGCAAAAAATTCAAGAGAACCTATATCTTAAAGTTATAATAAGATCCATTTTAAATAAAATCGTAGAGTAAAAATGGTGGTTTAGCAGCATGGGAACCTGCAGGAGCCTCTGAGTATTTGGAGGTAACACAATATTCCTATTTCTTTGATTTAGGACAGCTAATTGAGAAGTTCGTCAGTAGAATATCATCTTGGACAGCAAAGAAACTATCATATGCAGGGACAGTACAGTTGGTTCAAACAGTTTTGTTTGGTGTACAGTCATATTGGGCACAATTGTTTCTAATACCTAGCAAAGTAGTGAAACTTATTAAGGCTCATTGTAGGAGCTATGTGTGGACAGATACAAATCATATAAACAAAAAAGCTCTAGTTGCTTGGGAGAAAATATGTACTCCAAAATCTGCAGGTGGACTGAATATTACAAATTTGCATTTATGGAACAAAGCTGCAATTGCTAAGACTTTCTGGGACCTTACTCACAAGCAGGACAAGATGTGGATTAGATGGATTCATAGTTTCTATATAAAATCAAAAGGTAAACCAAGCAAGAAAAAGAGAGCAGCAATTAAAAGAAGACAACAAAAAGAGGTTGAGATACAACATTCCAAAGTACAGGAAAGACAGATTCCTAGAAACAAGAACCAGCAGCAACAGGATGACAACTCAAACCACATCAGAACAGAGTTTAACTAGCACAAGTGACAACAAACTCACTCACAAAAATACAACAAAGTCTCTAACCTTCGAAGAAATCTAAAAGGGACAGCTTTAGCTATGAGAATCAGTTTAAGCAATGAAAACTAAAACCATCTCTCACAACAACCATCACAGTTCAAAGAAGTAAAACAACAGGGGATAAAAATACACAACTACAACCCAAAATCAGTAGAGTCCTCCTTCAACACAATACAACACTCATACAACTAAAAATATTTTAAAAAAAATTGGTATAGAAGCTTAAAGGAGACAATGAGTAACAAAAACAAAGTAAACTTTCAAAGATTCAAGATAGTAAAATAAGTTCAGAATTTATTTACCAAGAACACCAGCTCAACTAGAAGAAAAACAATATGCAGACTATTAACAGAAAATGTAAAATACAAAATACCTTTTGAAGAACCGAATCATGAGCTGACCCTGAAGAATGTGGAAGATTTGTGCCTCTTACAGCTTGTGCGCTACTTGCATCAATAGGTGAAGCAATGTTAGATCCAACACACCCTGGTATATCTTGAAAATTCAATCCAGGGTTGTTTTGCAGCAATTGAGTGAATAAATGTCGCATTTCTTCTCTCAATTCTTCCTTTAGAGAAGTGATTTCATTGGCATGCTTTTGTTTTAGATTGTTAATTTCCTCATCTTTCTTCAAAGAACTTGTTGTCACTGATCTACCATAGCACCTAAGTTGACCAGGCTGCTCCTTTCCAAACACTGCCCTAAATGCATCATCAGCTGTTTCCCCAGAATTTTGGCGATTTTGAAGTTCAGCCTGTTGAATAAAATTGGCATCCATAATGAATTGTAAGTACTATTTCATTTCTAGTCCTATGATAGCGATCAAGAACTAAAAAAATCTGACAACTTTTCCTAGCAAACAATTCAGCGACATCGACAAAGAGAAGAAGAATAAAAAGAAGAAGAAGACATACGTGATAAAATTCAATGGAAAACTCCCCACAATATATAAATTTTAAGTCTAAATCAAATTCACTACTAATCCTTTTTAAAAAACTTACTATTGCAACTTGGGTATCAGCCTGGATTTCCTTTCCCGTCTTGGTACGAGTTGCAATAAACATTTCAGGCTTTGATGGTTCTTCGTTGTTGTCTTTGGCTGCACGCTACAGATTATATAAAAAAAAACAAAAAATACATCAGTATGCTCTAATAAAGTACAAAAAAATGAAATTCAGATTTTTGAAGAAATGTCAGCTAAGTATTACCAATGCCACGCGTACTCTTGCAAAATTAATAGGTCCCATTCGATGCCTCCACTTTTGTTTTTTCCTGTTTTGAGAATTCATCTCGCATATGGCCTATTATTAAATAAAAAGAGATAATTGAAATGATAAATAAAAAAAGAATAGATATGATGCAAAATATGTCGATGAGTAGAAATGCACTATTTTAGCCTTACTTGAACAGTTGGGTGTTTCCAATACTCGATCAACTGGCGGAATTGATTATCTGGAATGCCATCAGGACGTTTTGCTAGCATATCCTCAAGGGTACTGTTTTTATCAAAAAATTTCTCTTTAATTTTTTGCTTGTGTCACCTCCAAGCATCACGAAGACCAGTCATCACCCACTTCTTTCCTTCTACTGGAATTAGAAATTTGGACTATGCAAAATAAAATATATTTAGCTTCAGTAAGTAAAAACAAATAATAAAATATGCAATCCCAAGAGTGATTGTTCTTACATTGATATATTCCCACATGCGCTTTTTAGTATCCTTTGGCACCGCATGCCAACTAGTGTACATCAAGCTGATGAATCTAGGATTCCTTGCAATTGTTCCTATAAAGTTGCTTAATTGTGACACTATCTTATTAGTTGGTCCCACTGCTTGTCCTTTATCAAATGCCACCTCATTTCTTTCTTCCAAATTTCTTGCGAGAATATCTTTACATGTTGTTTGTCCTCGAACTTTTTTTGACTTCGATATTTCTAGATTGATGTAATAGACAAGAAATAAGATATTTCTTTTATAACGAGTACTAAATCTTACATGGTTTAAGACATACCTTTTGTACTACAATCAATGTTAATTTCCTCTTCGACATCACATTTATCTCCAGCGAGTTCTTCTTGATCCACAAGCTCATCCAATCCTTTGTTGTGTTCATTAATAATAGGATCATGAATATCATGTTCATTGTGTATCTGTTGCTTATCCAGAAACAGATCAATAGTGGTAGATGGTCGGACCGATTTCCTCTTCACTTGTTTGAAGTTCAGTAGATCCTCATTATCATGTTGTACCTCTCCATTACCTAGTGTTGTTCCAGTCACATGTACTGAAGCAGTAACACCTTCCTTGAATGATGTTTGGAACCTAGAGTTATTCATAGGAAGTTTAATTCCTTTCTCTTGAATGGACTCTCCAGATTGAAATAACCTCTGTTTAGTTTGTCCTTTCCCTGCAATCATATGTGAGGTTCTAAGCTCTTCCCTTGAAGACGATTGAATTACTGATTTGTGCCCAAGCAATTTACTCTTTCCTTGTTGTGGAGTGAAATCCTCAGAATTCTTTCTTTTATGTGGTATTGGTTCCTGCTCTTTCTTAGCTCTATCATTGCGTTCATTTGCAAGTTGTTCTCTCTTAATCTTGAATTTGTTGGCCAATTCAGTACTTGATCGGTATTGCATATCAACATCCAGATTCTTGAATGGACTTTGAGCTTTGTTTGGATTCGGACCCTTTTTCTTTAGTATTGCTGATTGATTCATTCTTCTCGCTTTGTTTTAATCTCTTTCATTTCTTCTCCTGTGGTAAGTAAACCTACAAAATAAAAAGGTTTTTTAAGTGAAAGAAGTAGTAGCAATATAATTTTGATATAAGGTTGACAGAGGGATAGCTTATTAATTTGAAACATTGTCCTTCTTATGCCTTGTGCATCTGAAGAACCCACAAACCAACTCTTTCCAGAATTTCCAACTCTATAGAAGTTATAGAAAAGCTCAACTCTTTCCAGAATTTCCAGCACTGTATTATAGCAGATTGCAGCAGCTGAGTTTCCAGAATTTCCAGCACTGTATAATATTGCAGCAGCTGAATTTCCAGAACTTCCAGCACTATATATACTGTAAACTGAGTCTATGAGTTGTACATACACAATATCCCCGGAGCCACAACTAAACTAATCTTATAACATGTACAACCATTCAGAATACTTTACCTAGAGCCACAATTTTATATGTAAATACTTTACCTTCTAACCAGCTATACCAAACATAAATTACTTAACCAAATCATATCAACTAAAGCATTGTGAAACAACCAAACAGGCTCATTTCTGTGCACAGTGTTCCACCATCTCATCACCATGTATTTAAGAGGAATATAATCCTTTTGGATACCTAGGGAAACAGCAAAGAACCCCAGACCTTTCTGGCAAAACTTCCAGAGTTGAAAATATGTTCAATAGTGTCAAGTTCAGGGGAATTACAGCAAAAACATTCTGCAGGGTCAACTCCAAAACTAGACAGCTTCTCATTACTTAAATTACTTAAAAGGTAAATAGTTGTACCTTTCTCGGAGCGACGAACTCAGGACTGCGACAAAACCAGAAACGACTTCAAACTGCAGAGCTCACTGTTCTGCCTCTAATGCCTACTGCCTGATAATAAAAGGAAACAAATAAGAATATAAATAACAAACAACAAAATATAACAATATTCAGCTAGAAGTACATGTTCCTCATTTAATCTCTTTGATTTCTTTCCCTGTGGTAAGTATACCTACAAAATAAAAGGTTCTTTAAGTGAAAGAAGTAGCAGCAATATAATTTTGATATAAGGTTGATAGATGAATAGCTTATTAATTTGAAACATTGTCCTTCCTATGTCTTGTGCATCTGCAGAACTCACAAACCAACTCTTTCCAGAATTTCCAACTCTATAGAAGTTATAGAAAAGCTCAACTCTTTCCAGAATTTCCAGCACTGTATTATAGCAGATTGCAGCAGCTGAGTTTCCAGAATTTCCAGCACTGTATAATATTGCAGCAGCTGAATTTCCAGAACTTCCAGCACTATATATACTGTAAACTGAGTCTATGAGTTGTACATACACAATATCCCCGGAGCCACAACTAAACTAATCTTATAACATGTACAACCATTCAGAATACTTTACCTAGAGCCACAATTTTATATGTAAATACTTTACCTTCTAACCAGCTATACCAAACATAAATTACTTAACCAAATCATATCAACTAAAGCATTGTGAAACAACCAAACAGGCTCATTTCTGTGCACAGTGTTCCACCATCTCATCACCATGTATTTAAGAGGAATATAATCCTTTTGGATACCTAGGGAAACAGCAAAGAACCCCAGACCTTTCTGGCAAAACTTCCAGAGTTGAAAATATGTTCAATAGTGTCAAGTTCAGGGGAATTACAGCAAAAACATTCTGCAGGGTCAACTCCAAAACTAGACAGCTTCTCATTACTTAAATTACTTAAAAGGTAAATAGTTGTACCTTTCTCGGAGCGACGAACTCAGGACTGCAACAAAACCAGAAACGACTTCAAAATGCAGAGCTCACTGTTCTGCCTCTAATGCCTACTGCCTGATAATAAAAGGAAACAAATAACAATATAAATAACAAACAACAAAATATAACAATATTCAGCTAGAAGTACATGTTCCTCATTTAATCTCTTTGATTTCTTTCCCTGTGGTAAGTAAACCTACAAAATAAAAGGTTCTTTAAGTGAAAGAAGTAGCAGCAATATAATTTTGATATAAGGTTGATAGATGAATAGCTTATTAATTTGAAACATTGTCCTTCCTATGTCTTGTGCATCTGCAGAACTCACAAACCAACTCTTTCCAGAATTTCCAACTCTATAGAAGTTATAGAAAAGCTCAACTCTTTCCAGAATTTCCAGCACTGTATTATAGCAGATTGCAGCAGCTGAGTTTCCAGAATTTCCAGCACTGTATAATATTGCAGCAGCTGAATTTCCAGAACTTCCAGCACTATATATACTGTAAACTGAGTCTATGAGTTGTACATACACAATATCCCCGGAGCCACAACTAAACTAATCTTATAACATGTACAACCATTCAGAATACTTTACCTAGAGCCACAATTTTATATGTAAATACTTTACCTTCTAACCAGCTATACCAAACATAAATTACTTAACCAAATCATATCAACTAAAGCATTGTGAAACAACCAAACAGGCTCATTTCTGTGCACAGTGTTCCACCATCTCATCACCATGTATTTAAGAGGAATATAATCCTTTTGGATACCTAGGGAAACAGCAAAGAACCCCAGACCTTTCTGGCAAAACTTCCAGAGTTGAAAATATGTTCAATAGTGTCAAGTTCAGGGGAATTACAGCAAAAACATTCTGCAGGGTCAACTCCAAAACTAGACAGCTTCTCATTACTTAAATTACTTAAAAGGTAAATAGTTGTACCTTTCTCGGAGCGACGAACTCAGGACTGCGACAAAACCAGAAACGACTTCAAACTGCAGAGCTCACTGTTCTGCCTCTAATGCCTACTGCCTGATAATAAAAGGAAACAAATAAGAATATAAATAACAAACAACAAAATATAACAATATTCAGCTAGAAGTACATGTTCCTCATTTAATCTCTTTGATTTCTTTCCCTGTGGTAAGTAAACCTACAAAATAAAAGGTTCTTTAAGTGAAAGAAGTAGCAGCAATATAATTTTGATATAAGGTTGATAGATGAATAGCTTATTAATTTGAAACATTGTCCTTCCTATGTCTTGTGCATCTGCAGAACTCACAAACCAACTCTTTCCAGAATTTCCAACTCTATAGAAGTTATAGAAAAGCTCAACTCTTTCCAGAATTTCCAGCACTGTATTATAGCAGATTGCAGCAGCTGAGTTTCCAGAATTTCCAGCACTGTATAATATTGCAGCAGCTGAATTTCCAGAACTTCCAGCACTATATATACTGTAAACTGAGTCTATGAGTTGTACATACACAATATCCCCGGAGCCACAACTAAACTAATCTTATAACATGTACAACCATTCAGAATACTTTACCTAGAGCCACAATTTTATATGTAAATACTTTACCTTCTAACCAGCTATACCAAACATAAATTACTTAACCAAATCATATCAACTAAAGCATTGTGAAACAACCAAACAGGCTCATTTCTGTGCACAGTGTTCCACCATCTCATCACCATGTATTTAAGAGGAATATAATCCTTTTGGATACCTAGGGAAACAGCAAAGAACCCCAGACCTTTCTGGCAAAACTTCCAGAGTTGAAAATATGTTCAATAGTGTCAAGTTCAGGGGAATTACAGCAAAAACATTCTGCAGGGTCAACTCCAAAACTAGACAGCTTCTCATTACTTAAATTACTTAAAAGGTAAATAGTTGTACCTTTCTCGGAGCGACGAACTCAGGACTGCGACAAAACCAGAAACGACTTCAAACTGCAGAGCTCACTGTTCTGCCTCTAATGCCTACTGCCTGATAATAAAAGGAAACAAATAAGAATATAAATAACAAACAACAAAATATAACAATATTCAGCTAGAAGTACATGTTCCTCATTTAATCTCTTTGATTTCTTTCCCTGTGGTAAGTAAACCTACAAAATAAAAGGTTCTTTAAGTGAAAGAAGTAGCAGCAATATAATTTTGATATAAGGTTGATAGATGAATAGCTTATTAATTTGAAACATTGTCCTTCCTATGTCTTGTGCATCTGCAGAACTCACAAACCAACTCTTTCCAGAATTTCCAACTCTATAGAAGTTATAGAAAAGCTCAACTCTTTCCAGAATTTCCAGCACTGTATTATAGCAGATTGCAGCAGCTGAGTTTCCAGAATTTCCAGCACTGTATAATATTGCAGCAG